AATATTAGAATTTTCTGAGACAATGAATTTTGGTTTTTCATTTTTCCCCTGTAAGAGGTTTTTATTTAATAGAATTTTTGGACAATATATCTCCTTGCTTACAGTATCGCAAAATATTGGGATATACCGTATCGTGACCCCTCTGTCATGATATGTATCGTATCGCCAAATTCTTGCCAATACACAGCCCTAGCTTTTACACAACTAGTGAGATTTAAATAAACAAATTTGTATGCAAGTTAATTGCTCCGTGTCTGATTTTTAGTAATAATGCAATACCATGTTGTTTGTCAGGTTGAAAGTCTTTGGGAGCTGCTGTGTCCTTTGCTTCGTACGGCCCTGTCAAACATCACAATAGAAACATATGCAGATTGGGGCACCTGCATTGCCACAGCCTGTGTAAGTTTGGTTGTTTTATAAGTTTGGATTACTTTTATTTTATTTTATTCCTTATTTTTAATAACTTTTGTTTCGGCTTTGGTAGGAGAGCAGAGATCCACGTAAACTTCACCGACTGTTTGAGATGCTGATGGAATCTCCTGTCAATGGAGAGGGAGGCTCTTTTGTAGACGCCTGGTGAGTAAAAAGTCACTAGAAATACAAAGTTGTCATACGATGTGTGTGAAAATATTACTCTGCATTCTGCACCTGCTCATAAAATGTTTGATATTAGAAGGTTTACCCTTAAAATTGATTATTATAAATATATTTGATAATCAAAAATAAATTTAGATCAGTGGCCTCTTGTGTTTTGACAGCATGCCTGCTGTTCTGCTAACAGCTGGTAAAGATGGGGAATCTTTCCTAAACCAGCTGTTTTCCTACCAAAACCAGTCCAAAGGACCAGTAGGCCTTTTTAAAATCTATAAAAACACTATTGATGGATGTTAATTTAGCTGGTTTACTTTTTGAGAAAAAAAGACAGTAGTGCTATTTATGTGTATTCTTTTTTTTAGTTTAAACAAAAGACTGTAATATTTAGTCGTGAAGAAAACAGGTATTATATTGATAATTATTGAACTCCATTATGCCCTCTTGTTTGTTCCTTGTGTAAATTGCTCCAGATTAAAGCATCCTCTACATCACTATGATGTAAAGAGATGGGTTGGGTTGTTTGTCACACGCTTGCGTTTTTCAGCATTGAAATGTTGCTGCTGTTAAACCAACCAAACTGATAGTACTTCTGTCTTTCCTAGTCGCCTCTATGTGCTGCAAGGTGGTCTAGCCCAGCAGGAGTGGCGTGTGTCAGAACTTCTGCACAGGCTGCTTCAGTACCTGGAGCCCAAACTCACACAAGTGTACAAAAATGTTCGGGAGCGAATCGGCAGGTGAGGAGAATTTTTGTTTCTTTACATATACCTAACAAACTAACCAAATAATTTTCAGATGATCCTTTAAAGTGCCTGTGATGTCAAAGTTTTGTAACACATATGAATGCATTTTTAGAAAGAGGACATGGATAAGATATCGCAAAAGAAATTTCATGTCGCTGAGATGAACAGTTGTTGAGATATTGGCCTGTGAAGTAACAGGAAGTGATGTCAAAGGGGATTGTCTGCATGTGAACAGAGCGTTGCTACAACAGCCAACAACCCAGACTGTAGAGAACAATCTGATGTTTCTTAAGATTATTTTGAGTCACTATCAGAGAGATGAAGAAGAGTCAGAGTTCAAATATTATTGTTTGAATAAACAAAGACCAGAGAGTTTTGTTTGTTACAGAGTTCCCCTTTGATGTCACTTCCTGTTTCACTTTGGCTGAGCCAAGTTCAAAAGAGAATATGCCAGTTATGGGACAAAATGGGTTAAAACATGTGTATTAGTCCAACTTTCTTTCTTAAAGATGTTTTCTTTGTCTTTTTGCATTTGAAGAATATGCATGTTACAGGCACTTTAAGCTGTTAATTTTTTTTCTCATCTTGTCTTCTCTGATTTGGTGTTCTTTTAGCGTTCTCACATACATCTTCATGATTGACGTCAACTTGCCCCTCACGCAGCCAACCAGCTCCCCACGCATCTCCGATTTCACAGAGCGAATTCTGTTAAAGCTGAAGCCCCTAACGGAGGGGGATGAGGAAATCCAGAACCATGTGATTGAGGAGAATGAAGTTGGGGAGCAGGATGAAAGAACACAAGCAATAAAGTTACTCAAAACAGGTAGGTCGGTGACATAGTCTTGATTATGACAGGGGCGATTCAAAATAAAACCTGTTGACAACTAGCTAATTAACATGTATATTCTGAGCTGTTGGCCTTTTTAAATGATTTCAAATGTCTGCAGTGATCAAATGGCTGATTGCGAGCGCTGGTCGCTCTTTCACCACCGCTGTCCCAGAACAGTTACGGCTGCTTCCCCTCCTCTTCAAGGTGAAAAACACCTTCATTCAGAGCCTTGATCTTTAAACCCTAAAATCTGCCATCTTAAACTGTGCACCGCAAGAAACCCCGACCTTTCATTTGTGTCTGTCTTTTTGTTCCAGATTGCTCCAGTTGAAAATGATGACAGTTATGATGAACTTAAGAGAGACGCAAAGACCTGTCTGTCTCTAATGTCTCAGGGACTTCTTTACTCAGATCAAATCCCCATGGTCCTCGATGTCCTGAAAGAGGTGAGTCATCTGGAAGCTATAGTTGTTATTCCACTCCTCACTTGAACATGAAAGGACTTTTTACAGCTTCACCAAGCAGCATTCTGTAAGATCATTAACCGAAAGGAGAAAGGTACAGAGTGCACATTACCTGTAGAGGACATTAAAGTGCCCGTGACATGAAATTTTTAAAATAAATATAAAGGCATTATTGGAAAGATAACATCAATAACATATTCCAAAATTAAATTCTCGCTGCTGAGATGAACAGTTGTTGAGATATTTGAAGTACCAGGAAGTGATGTCAAAGGGGAACGTCTGCATGGATTTGAAGAAATTTAAAGTTTTTAGAGGTTAGTACTGATGTTAAGAGCACAACACTATATTCTTAGGTTTTCCTTTTCGTAATGTTGACAGTGTTTAATCTATTATGTTTTGATTGAAATGTTCAGTTGCATGTCCGAAATATGAGACAACACATAATCAAACGTTGTGATGACAGTAGCTGAGGATTTTGTCTGAATGCCTGTGATTCAGCCGTAGGTCAGTAGGGGGCGAACGCAGGCATTGAAGAAGGTGTTGAGGATTTTGTCTGAATGCCTGTGATTCAGCCGTAGGTCAGTAGGGGGCGAACGCAGGCATTGAAGAACCATGTATAAATTGATGAACTTCCTGGTTTTCTGGTAGTGTTGGTTTCCTGTCAGCTTGAGTGACAATAAAACTCACTCAGATCCAGAATTCTGGTATTTTTATGGATTGATTCCTTCTACAAATCATTTTATTTAACAATGGTGTTTTTAATATCGACTTCAGTTTATTGAATACGAATTTTCTTACAGTTTAGAGCTTTGATAAAATAGCTAAGGACACAGACTGTAGAGAAGAATCTGATGTTTCTTTAGATTATTTTGAGTCTCTATCAAAGAGAGATGAAGACGAGTCAGAATTTCAGTGAACAAAGACTAGAGAGTTCTCTTTGTTAAAGAGTTCCCCTTTGATGTCACTTCCTGTTTCACTTTGGCGGATCCAAGTTCAAAAGAATATATGCCATTTATGTGTTCAAATGGGAAAAAATCATGTTTTATGCAAGGTTTCTTATATAAAAATGTGTTTTCTTTAACTTTTTGTATTTGATGGATAGGCATGTCACAGGCACTTTAAAGTTCTTATTTTACCCAGAAGTCAGTCTGAATAAATGCTTCAATTATTCTGGAATATTACATGTTATAATTTACTATTATAGATTATAGGAGCTCCCTGGCAAATATAAACAATATTACAGTATATAGGAAGGGACATTTATAAGAAATATCTGTATTTGCATATTCTAACAATGTGTTCATTGGTGTCAATCCAGGACACTCATTGTTTTGGTGAAACGAAGGCTTTGAGGACCCCACTGATGGGTTTGTTCCTGTGTGTTTCAGATTGCCGGCAGCAGCTCTTGGCATGCCCGCTACACGGTGCTCACATACCTGCAGATCATGGTTTTCTACAACTTGTTTACATTCATGAGCGACCAGAAAGCAGTGAATGATGTGCGGGCGCTCGTAATAAAACTGCTGGAGGATGAGCAGCTTGAGGTAAGAACAGACATTCATCCAGATAAAACCCTTTTTTTAATAATCCAAATACAACGAGGAGTTTAATCAAATATGAACACTAGCTGGAAAGAAACAGTTACCTGATTATATAATAATTCACTGACCTATTGGCCAGTATGTGCTTGTTTATGCTAGCAGGCACTTTCAGCTTTACTGTAGTGATTCAGCACTCTCCTTTTAGCTCTCTGCTCTCCCTCTCCTCAGTCCTCTTATGGTTTCTATGGAAACCTCTGGCTGCAGTAATCTGTTGCTATGGAGATGATGTTCAATTTGAAGGAGTACAAGACGGAAAAGGAACGAGCAGAGACAAAGAAAATGTGTGTATGAGGGATTGATGAAAGCATTTTCAATCAACCTCGCGGTGTATCTCGTGTCGAATTTATAAACCTGTATAATATATATAAGACACTTTGGTCTATTTGTTAGAATAAAAAACAACAACTCAAGGCACTGTACAAGTTTCTTTTGGATTAAGGCCATAAAATGCGCAACAGGTTATGAAAAATCATCTTCACTTACTCATGCACTCCAGCCCATAGGCCCACACCATGCCTCATGACATTGTTGCTTTTGTTGTTCAACGAATGCAGCCAAAGATGGTCTATAAGGATTTATGTAATGAACTGGCATAGGCAGTTATAATAAAGTGAATAAAGGCCAGAACATTAAATCAGCTTTTACCGTTTGGGTTTATGAGCTAAAAAATGCCACAATTTAAAGTTTGTACATCCTGTATTTTTGTTTGGTTAACTTTAATTATCACAGATGTAAATAGAGCTGGGTGGTATGACCCAAATTTTATATCACGGCATTTTCAACAATTACACCAGTTTCACAGTATTTTTTTTTCATCGCAGCTCAGCTGATAATAAAATGTACAAATGTTGCTTATTGACTTTTTTCTTTGACTGTACCTCTGTCTGTGTCACTGTTTCCCTCCTCTTGTACGTCTTTTCTTCTTTGCCTGGTTGTAGACAGTAATCATGGGTTGAGAAAAGATCATTATCGGCTCTATCGTTGTATGTTAATAAAACTTAAAAGCACGACTCACCTTGCACACCAGTCAACTCAGCGCTACTACAAAACTACTTCCCCCAGCTTTTCACAATAAAAGCACGTTAAAGTCTCCATCAGCATAATATCTCCATTATAACGTCGCGCGTTACATCTAACTGTGCACATCACTGACGAGTTTACTACATTCAGCGATGGTGAAAACAGGATGTGTTTTTTTTTAAACTTCAATCAAAATAAGCAGCTGAAACACCACCTGCCGCCAGTTACTCCAACAAGCTGCTCAACAATAGCGTTAGCATGCTAACGCACATAGCGGTGCTGCGAGGAAACGTGTCCCCCGGGAAACGTTCACTCGCTGCCGTGACGAAACGTTTCGAACGTGTTGAGGCAATTTAAACCGATATGTCCGGTATTCAGAAAATTCATATAATAACAAAAATAAAAACTGGTTTTCAGGACAAAATGGTATACCGCCCAGCACTAGGTGTAAATATGAATCTATATATAGCAAAAAACAATACATTAATGCAACATGATCAGAAAGAATTGTTTTGAGCATAGTTGTTGGTCTGTATTCTGCTAAATATGCTACTAATTAGGGGTGCAACGATACAGAAACTTCACAATTTGGTTCGGTTCGATACTTGAGTCTCATGGTTCGATATTTTTTCGATACAAAAAAGAGAAATGTCCACGCCCTTTTTAACTTGTAATTTATTTAAATTAATTATGAACATTTGTTTAACTTTGAAAGTACATTTTTTTAAATGAAATGTTGCTGAAACAGCAAGTTTCTCAGTAGATCTGCGCTCAACAATGCAGCCTAGGTGGAGTAGTCGAACACAGATCCACTGATCCTTCAACACAGAGCATCTTCAGAAGACAAATTGATAAAATAATAAAGAAAAATCTGTATTGTTCGATACATAGTGTGTATTGAATGGTTCGATACGTGTACATGTATTGTTGCACCATTACTACTAAAGCGTATGAACTTCCTCTTTCTTTTTCCCTTCATCTGTAGGTACGAGAGATGGCCGCCACCACTCTCAGTGGCTTCCTCCAGTGCAATTTCCTGTCCATGGATGCCCCCATGCAGGGACATTTTGAGGCTCTCTGCAAAACTCTTTTGCCTAAGAAGAGGAAACGAGAGCTTGGCTCTGTAGTGGACACCATTCCCTCTGCTGGTAGGACCCTCATCAGATCAGTAGTACTAAAAATAAATGGCACTCTTATTTTGTTGACTCATTCCTGTGGAATCTTTGTTTTTCTAGACCTCGTGCGTCGCCATGCTGGTGTTCTTGGTCTGAGCGCGTGTATTCTCTCCAGTCCATATGATGTTCCCACCTGGATGCCCCAACTGTTGATGGACTTGAGTGCCCACCTTAATGACACACAACCCATTGAAGTACGTGTAACCATCTAGAGCTGCCTTTTTTTATGGTCATGTAAAGGAAAATAATAGGCATATGCTCCATTTTCTGCTTCTAGATGACTGTAAAGAAAACTCTGTCAAACTTCAGACGGACTCATCACGACAACTGGCAGCAGCACAAACAACAGTTCACTGACGATCAGTTGTTGGTCCTCACTGACCTGCTGGTCTCCCCTTGTTACTATGCCTAAAACCTGGTAAAGCATTTAGATTTTTACACTTTCATGTTATGATCTTCATGTTTTTAAACTGCACCTAAAACTGGAAACCATTACATAGTGCTGTTTAAAAATATTATTTTCAGTCAGAGAGCTTCTTAACCATCTTTTTGTTGTGTTTTTTCTTATGTCAGATTTCAACAACTCAAGACTGCTTACACTGAACAGGCTAATTCCTGACTGAATTGAAAACACAGCATCCTTGCAGAGCTGGGAGAAGAGAAAAGGCGTACCATGGAACTGCATCATGGCTCTCAGAAGGATTGAAACATCCTGCATTTGTGTATTAAAGTCCTTTACTTTTCAACTATTCTTAATATTTAAGGATAAATAATGGCAGGGATGAATGACCTGCAGTTTGTACCATTACTGTACAGAAGTTTATTTAAAAAAAATTTTTCTTTGTGGCTTGTTTGCCTGCATGTACACAGGAATGTGTGTGTGCGTGTTTCTAGGGTGCTTGAAGACATCCGCTGGTCTAACATTTCTCAGGATTAAATACGTTCTGAGCCAATACAGTCGTCCGGTGCAGGACTCTTTACTCTCTTCAGGCAGTGAAGTGTTTGCTACAAGCCACACAAAATCCACTAATATCCAATGGTTTCATTAGGTCAGACTGAAATTTGCAACACACAATGTTTGTGTGGTTATTTGATCTTGTTATATGCATAATGTGTGTATGTGTCATCTTATAGCAAATATGCACAAACTCATTTATTTTCTTTTTCTTTTTGAAGTGCTGAGTTTTGAATTTTTTCATAGTTTGTCTAAAAATCTATAGATGGCTGAGCTGTTTGCAACGGAGCCTGCTCTCATCTTACGTTTGCAAAAGAAAGGGAGAGTTCAAGCTCCCCACTGCTGTGCTGTGTGGTGTGTTTGCTGTGAGGACCTGAGCGTAGTTGGATCACAGTGTCATGTGTCTCAGTGCAAGAAGAAAAAAAAAAGCCAAATTGCCTGTCCTTAGTTGGACCTTTCCCCTCAGACATTTGACCTTTTCCTGAGAACCTAATGCGGTGACATTAGGTGACTTTGGTTTGTTTTCCCCTGATGACTTGAAACCAGTCTGAGCATCAAAGCATTTAGTACCTCACTTGCATATAGTGTAGTGCCAAAACTGCAGTGTTTTTTTTTTTTTAGATTTTTCTGAGGTAATAAATTGTTTATAACAAAGCCAGCATTTGAGTTTTTCTTTTAGTACAGTTGTCTCAGCGTTATAAAGAAAATACAATCTAATGAATGATTTTTCTAAGAATCCTTCCTAAAAAAACACCTTTCACCTGGTTTTGTTATAAGATTTATCAAGAAATCCGTGTCTTGCATCCATGCGTCAAGATTGACCATATGTAGCACTTTCTGGTGCTAAGTATTAAAAACATTTTTAAATTTATTTTTCACCATGGCAATTCTCTCGAAGTCCAGTCTTACACGTCACATTAGATGCGACCAAGCTGCCTAAATATTTAAAACAGTTGTCTTCCATTTTTGATCAAAACTAATTTGTAAGCAACAATCGAGCTTGTCTGAAGTCTGATCACCATCGTCTTGGCCCCGTTAACCAAGAGAACCATTTCTGCACTGGATTCTACAACTTCATGAAGGAAAGTCTGCAAGTCATGTTTAGGTGTTGCTATAAGTATCATACTCGGGATGCTTCAGGTTCTACTACTCATAAATGGCCAGGGAATGTTAAAAAAACAACCTTGGGACTTGAGGACAGAACTGTCTAAAGGCCCTGTCATGCGATGCCGTTTTAGACAACGCTGACTAATGAAAGGTGGAGACATCTATATAGATATAATTTAAAAAAACATACTGTAATACTAACAAATTGATCAAATAACTAATTTTGATTAGTAATTGAGAGAGAAAAGTATTTAAAAAGTTGGCGTAAGTTGTCTAAAACGTTATAGTGCGACAGGGCCTTAAGGGGGGGTCTAATGGGATGGCACTCTTTTTTTTTCTCTTCTGGGTGGCCTCCCTTCTCCCCTTATGGCCATCCTCTCCACACCTTTATGATTTTTTTATTTTATTTTCTTTTTATTAATGTTTTTTGTGAAGAGAAAATAGAGAGAGAGAGAAAAACAGAGAGAAAAGTGATTAGAAAGATAGAAAGACTGAAATAGCGATTAGAAGTATATTAAATATACACCAACAAAACACAGGACCACACACCCAACATCTGTCCGCTCACCTGAAAAATAAATGGATAAATACATGGAGGACATATATAAAAATATACACATACCCATGCATATATAAAGATATACATACATACATGCCTACATTCATAAATATTGTCCGTGTATACACATAGACATATAAACACACTCAGTGACCAGTCAGAACCCCCCGGATCAGACCACCTGTTTGTGAGCGGTTGTGAACATGCGTGTGTATATACAAGATTTCTCCAACGGAATATTTAATAGTGACTGTGGAGGACCGAGACCCAACCCCCAAGACACGAGGCACACATAGGGAAGACCAGAGCCCAAGGACC